ACGGCGCCTAATTTGATATCACTCAAATGTTTAACCCTAAGGAGTGAATTACTCTCTCAAATAAGAGGTTCAATTCTAGTACTTAGGGATCGAATTCACGGGGAGCTAGGGAACCTAATAGATCTAATAGTTATAAGATTAAGCTAGGGTAATAAGTTTTAATGCAGTAAATGAATAAACTTGAAAACAGTAAACAAGATGAACAAGGTAATTGTTCAGCTTCGCAAGGATTTGTTGAATGGAAGGATGGTTGCTAGATCTAGGGTTTCTATTCAGGTAATCAGGATTATAATACTATAGATGCCTAACAAGTTGCATGCATGATATATAAGAACTTCAATTCTTAGACAAATCTATAGCTATCGCTAGTTAGACTCGTCCATTGATCTGAATGCCGACAGTATCGACCGATGTTGCTATCGCAGTGTCGGTCGATATGTGTTGCCATCGATCGATGACTCTATAGGAGTATCGATCGATATAGCATCAGATCGAATCGAAACTGTGTTCACAGAGATCATTAGGCCGGCTATCGCTGGTGCATAAGATCTGAGTTTGTGCAGGATGATATCAGGACGAAGATTAATAAATTAAGCTATTCCTGTTCATGGTTCTAGTTCATGACTCTAGAAACAAGCATTAAGAACATCCTAACAATGAATATCACAACTTAGCAATCTATAGTTGGGGCTAATCCCACAACCTATCTGAACCCTAAATCCAACAGGTGGATCTATTCAGATATGAAGATTGTCACAGAAATCATAGATGAATAGATGAATAACATAAATAATATAAAACCAAAACCAATGGATTTCCAGGAGGACTCTGATAAGAGTTCCTCCCTTCTCTCCTAACTAAGATAAACAATAGAAAAGAACTTAGAAAAGCTTAGATAGCATGTAGCCGTCAACAATGGCTTATAAATATCATAATGATATATGGTGTTTTTAGCATATTCTAACAATGTTTTCTAAAGTGTTTTTGAGTCTTTATCGAGTCTTTTAGTCCTTTTTAAGTCATTACAGGTATGGAGTTGCTTTGGATGGAAGATGGACCAGTTGGAGAAAAAGAGTGCAATTTGTGAATTTTCACGCGGAACAGTTTCGCGGAACAGTTGTTCCTGCGGCAGCGATTTTTAAGGAAATACAACATATTTCGGGATTTGCCCTAATTCTCCTATTTTTCTCTCTCAGCCGCAAGCAGCCTCCATATATCTTATTTTCCTATTTTCTACATTATACTACGCTACTTTTTACCAGAGAAACAACTCTAGAGCTTTTGGATTATTGTGATTTCAATACTTTGTATCTTTGAGGGAGAAGGATCTCTACAACCTTTGGAGAAGATTTCTAAACCCTCTTGCTTATTATTTATTGATTCAGACATGTTTTCTTCATCTATTGACTCTGTGTTTTCTATGTTCATGGCTGAGTAGTCAGCTTGCTTAGTCTAGGGTGCTAGGAGATCATAGATTCATGAGCTAAACACAAATAAGGATTTCTGTTTAGATTGTCTCCATTCATTGTTGAACTTACTGCCTGCATTAAACTAGCTACTTAGTGCCTGATTCTAGGTTTAATCTATTCATCAAAAGTGTTTTAGGTTGCTAGAAATAACATGAATGGGCAATTTGTCCCTAACCAGCGAAAGTAGATGTTAGGGCAAATTGTGAACTTATCGAATCTGGTCTTAATGTTTATCATCTTTCTCTGATTCAAACGACAGTTTAGATATTAGGAATGCACGATAAAAGGATGGATGCCACGAGAGTGGATCAATCTTGTCTTGTTGTTCGAGTTTAAGACGTGCTGCGATTTGTTCCTTGAATAGATGTTTGGTTCATGCTCATTGATTTCCGATCATTCACCTTAGACTTTGCTCTTTTATCATCTGAAAACCCAACCCAAATCATTCTCTTTTACTTGCTTGTTTTATTTTCTCAATTTAAAAACCATATTATTTTAGCTTAATATTGATCCTATAAAAATAAAGTGTAAATTTGGTCTCTGTGGATTCGATCCTCAAGTACTACATTGAACCTCTTATTTGAGAGAGTAGCTTGAAGGTTAATTTGAGCATATCACATAACTAGGGTTTCTGGTCGTCAAGGGTATTTTGGTAACTTTTGGGCTTCAGTCGGTTATAAAATATAGTCATCCCACGTTCTGGCATTCATATCGACTGATATGAAGTGTCTCCCATCGATCGACATGCACATATCTTCTCGACAGCTTTCTCTCGCGAGGCAGACTTACCACTCTTCAGTAAAACGGGCATAACGTCTGATCTAACCGTTGGATTGACCTCAAAACGGTGGAATTGGAAAGCTAACTCAAAGGTCTATCTTGTGTCAAAATATGGGCTCAATCGCACCATGGGAAGGTCTCCATCCATATCTAAACATTTGACGCGTCTGCGTAGTTCTGCACTTAAAGGCTCCAAAAGACACCAAATCACCATATTTCACCAGGATGTACCTGAACTTGTAAATACTCTAAATAGACTCCAAAACATATATAATTATCATAAAAACATATCAATACCATGACTAAAAACGGGTCAAAATCATGGTATATCATATATGGAGGATGTGATGAGCTTGTTGTGAGTGGTTACAGTGATGCCAGCTTTCAGACGGACAAAGATGATTTCCGATCACAATCAGGTTTCATCTTTTGTCTTAATGGAGGAGCGGTGAGTTGGGAGAGTTCCAAGCAAGAAACTGTAGCAGACTCTACAACTGAAGCTGAATACATCGCTGCTTCTGAAGCAGCAAAGGAAGCTGTTTGGATTCTAAAGTTCATTGCTGAATTGGGTGTGGTTCCTAGTATCTCTAACCCAGTGGATCTCTATTGTGACAACAATGGAGCCATCGCACAGGCGAAGGAACCTAGATCCCATCAGAAGTCCAAACACATTCTAAGGAGATATCATCTCATTCGTGATATCGTTGATAGAGGAGATGTGAAGATTAGCAGAGTTTCAACTGATGCAAATGTTGCTGATCCGTTGACAAAACCCTTTCCACGACCTAAGCATGAGAGTCATACTACTGCTATAGGCATTAAGTTTCTTAAGATGTGATCTTGATTCTAGTGGGAGATTTTTCTTTTATGATATGATGTTCATGTTTACATACATTTGGTTATGTTTTAAAATTAATGAAATTGTTTCAGATTTATTTTATTATTGGATAATTAAAATAAATGTCCCAAAATAATTTATATCANTACTGCTATAGGCATTAAGTTTCTTAAGATGTGATCTTGATTCTAGTGGGAGATTTTTCTTTTATGATATGATGTTCATGTTTACATACATTTGGTTATGTTTTAAAATTAATGAAATTGTTTCAGATTTATTTTATTATTGGATAATTAAAATAAATGTCCCAAAATAATTTATATCATTTTTATAGGTCATCAAGTGAGTGACTTTATCATGAAACCCTATAAGTGTAAGATACTATAAGTTATTGAGGTCCCTATTCAAGGTTGTTAACGTGGGACATTAATAACCATGAATGACTAGTATGTGAGGTGATTGATGACTAAGTTTCATGGAGTCATTCAATATGTGGTATTGAAGTCAATCACATGGATATGTGTTGGAGAACACATGATCGGACTGACCCGCTATGAGAACTCTGCAAGATTGTTATATGAGTGTGATAAGAGTTTCTCATTACGACTAAAGAGTATAGTCCTTAGAACTGAGTTCATCATGATTCTTTACTTGTGGATTAGTTCACTTTGACCTTGTTAAACGTCAGCCGTAATTGGTGATTATAAAGGCATTGATTAGTTGTTCTATGAAGTTTGTAAGGATCAAGGATGGAACAAGATGGGATTTGTTCCTCCCATATAACGGGAGATAAATATCTCTGCGCCTATCGAAGATTTAATATTGAGAAATGCATGGCCATGCTCAAACAAGGTGAATGTCAGTCGTTTGTTTTATCAGTACAAATCAGAGCTCGATAAACATGATCTAGCTTACTAAGGATGACACTAGTTCTTGCCTTATGCTGAGATCGAGATATAGAGACAAAGGGTTTACGAGAATATATGATTTTAGTATAAGTGGGAGATTGTTGGGAATGTCCTAAAATCATTTGTACTTACTCTAGTAGAAGTCGTAACGTCGAGGTTCGACAATCGTATAAAATTAGGTGGTTATAATGTTTTGCTAGAAACCGCTTATAATCTATAGATTGAGAATTTATTACTAATTTTATATGATCCTACAGGGTCACACACCTAAACAGACTAGATCTATAATATTTAAGGTTTAAAGTAATATGATATATATGATATAAAATGTTATATTATATATACATATGTCTTATGCTCGTTTGCACAAAAATGATTAATGTAATCACTTCTTAAATTGGATTGAGCCCATTAACCTTTAATTGGGTTATTATACGTGCATTATATAATGACACAAGGAAGTTTAATATTGAGTGTGGCCCTAACCTAAATATTGAATCAAAGGAGACGAATTGTTCGTCAAGAAGATTTTGCGGCACTAGCATCCCGTTCCGATCTAGTCTGTGTGCGTGTGGATACCGGTAGAGGCACGACATTTGGAGTGCTTGAAATCTCGACTTGGTATATTCATCTTTCTGCTGCGAATAACCACGTATATTCGAGAATCCTAAAGATCTAGATTTATTTCAGTATTTACATAAGATCCTAGGCAAATAGAATTCATAGGTTATCTTATAAATCGTTATAAACCGGTATGAATTCCTACAAGAAATTGGAGGGAATGACTATAATTACGTTTTCTTTGCGGGAAAAACACTTGAAGAGGTGAGAGAGTTCGTTCCTCTGGTGATCAGTACTATTTCTTCTGCAATCACGGTAATTTGTTTCTGATGACCTCATTAAATTCTGCCTCTCTGAACACCAATAGCACAAACTTCAGTGTGTGTGGTTTTTTTTGGGAATAAAAATCTAAAGCATAAGAAAAATATACAGGAGTTGATTGGTATGGGGGGAAGAACATTTCTTGTGCCGGGAGAGTTTCCCATGGGATGCTCAGTAACCTACTTGACATTATATCAAACATCAAACCAGGAAGAATACGATCCTTCAGGTTGCTTGAAATGGTTGAACAAGTTCGCAAAATACCACAGTGACCAGCTTCAGGCAGAACTCAACATGCTCCGGGAGCTGTACCCTCATCTCAACACATATACGCAGACTACTACAACTCTTTGTTACGCCTTTTTCAAGAACCGGGGAAGTTTGGTTAGCTTTCTTGATTCTTACTATCAACTTACAATACCAAGTTCTTTGATTTGATTTGTTAACCTGACTAATTATCCAATCAGGGTTCATAGAGAAACCCTTGCACGCTTGCTGCGGTTCTGGAGGACCGTATAACTTCACATCTGGTAGACAATGTGGCTTTAAAGGAGTGGAATCTTGTAGTGATCCTTCAAAGTATGTTTGTTGGGATGGTGTTCATATGATAGAGGCTGCGTACAGATTGATGGCCGTAAGTATACTTAAGGGACCTTATGCTATTCTATCTTTTGATTGGTCTTGCCTCAGGTCAGAAATTAAGAACAATGGATCATCTGATACAAAGTATTCTTTAATGAACCATTGATATTATAAGTTGGTCTTGAAAAATGAGAGACATAAGAATGTATACTGATAAAAACATGTATGTTATCTTGGATCATGTATATTATTAGAAAATTTGTATTGTGTTATAGTAATGCGAGTATAAATCTGAATATGTAATAACATTGAATTATGAGTGACACCGACGACAGCCTTACTACGTACACAACAATACAACCTGAACAAACCAGCTTACCAAAAAAACATGCCGTTTACGTGAACAACTTTGCTCATGGTCTCCACAGTCGTGAATTTGGCTTCAAAAATAATGGCATTCCCAGAGGATCCAAGGCCAACGTTTCCTTACTTCGAACGGATGATTGACAACTTTCCAAGCCTTGGTTCACAAAGATGAAGCTTTCATGGAACATGGAACCCGGTACTGAGGATTCGGAGCCACCCATATTTGTCACGTAAATAACGTGCATTCAAATAAAAAATAATTTTAATAGATTTACCTACCAAATTTGTAATTTGACATCTATAATCAACCGACATATCTCTTGGAATTCGAAGAGACGACGGGCCCACTGCATCAATTTGGCAAGCAACCATCACATCAAAATATCAATGATGAAACGACAAACTCAGTCCCCATATCTCTACACGCCCTCCCCCCTCCCTTTTTGGGATGATTGCTAACCCACCCACCTCTCCCCCACCCACTAGTAAACAAAGAACCCTATCGATTCTACCTATATTGCGGATCAAATGCTAATATAGGCTACATAGTCTCCAAAAAATCTCAATTAGATCCATCATTCTTTTTTATATTTAAATTTAAATATAAATCTAAATCTCAATTAGATCCATCATTCTTTTTTATATTTAAATTTAAATATAAATCTAAGTGAAATAACTAAAAAATTTAAAGACTTAAACTTATTTACTTACCTATGCCAGTATTATCCTACCCAATATCCGATATAGATTTAGACTCAAAAATCTATCCAAGCTTTTCTTTTTCCTTTTTTTTTTCCATTCAAAGTTTTTTCACCATGAAAAAAATCAAAATATTTTTCCAATCATCCACTAATTTTCTTTCTCTTATCTCAAATCGATCAACTCATGATCATATTTTATCAATTATATTTTATCCAGAATCAAATTTCATATTTTACTAAAAAATTCAAAGTAATGAAGAAAGCAAAGTATTACTAGTACACTAATAAAATTAGTATAATTAGTATAAATCAAACTAATATAACTCACTCTAATAAAAATAGTATAACTTGTACACCTTGAATTAGTACAACTGGAATAACTAAAACGAGTATAACTAATATAAATAGATTAAATATCATCTATACATTATTTGAGAATTAATTTTCTTACGTATCATCACCATATTCATTCCCACAAAAAAAATTATATGACTTTGAGAATTATGAGATGGCATTATTTAATTATGAGATGTATAATTTCTTTTATTTTTTGTTTTCAGCATATGAAGATGCTAAAAAAAAGAATGATGTAGAACCAATAAGACATAGTGGCTAATATCACAGATAAGGGTGATCAATCCTTAACATTAGTATTCATGATGACTAGATTAAGAACTATATTTTAAACACCCTAGTAATGGTTCATTCAATACATGAGTCAATCTTAATGAGAAACATAAATCTAACAAGAGAGACTACTCAAACATATTTATGAAAGACAAAGTCATAATGGTTTGAATAATGCTTTAAAGATAGTAATAGCAAGAGAAACAATAAATAAATAAGTAAAGCAAGAGAGTTCAAGATCTTCTCTGGATTTGTAGTTCAGATCTCTCTCTCTACTCCTAAGCTCTTCTCAAAGTATAGCTAGATGCTTCTCCCCAAATTAGGTCTAAAAAGATCTCTCTAGAGAAGTCTGTCTAAACTGGTACAAAACCCTCATAATATAGCCTAACAGGCGGCCATAGACTTAAAGTGTAATTATTAAAACTCTTGTGAAGCAATTAGGGCTTCTAATCTTTATTTAATCACTCGGAGGACTTCTGTATCGATCGATCGTGAATGTCCTCAATCGATCGATATGGGTAATCTTTTATTGGTCGATTGTTCTCAACGTACGTCGTTCGATATCTTTAACATCGTTTTGCTCATATCTTCATAAAGTCTCCATTTTAGCTCCATAATGGCTAGTTTACACCAATGAGTACCTGAACCTGTAAAAGCTCTAAAAAGACACTAGAAGTATCCTTTTGTTTCCAAAACATATATAAATCATGGTTGAAAGTGGGTAAAATCCACGACATATCAACTCCCCCAGACTTATCCTTTTGCTTGTCCTCAAGCAAATAATAGAACATTGGTCTAGAAAATGTTTGAAAGGCGGAAGCTCCTATAATTCTGAACTTGGAACCATCACCTCTTTACTTATTGCAAGCCACTTCAGACATCTATCAATCTTAGAAGTACATTACACCATATCCTAGCTTAGCAACCAAATTCAACTAGCCAACAACTTAATGATCCTGTTTGTCTATCCCCTCTGCCGGTTTCATTTATGCATGAATCAAAAGTGCAGGCTTTACCTTGGGAATATCGATCAAAGGACACGTGGACTCTCACCCCAACAGATATTTGAATAAACATGCAGTCTTATTATGGTTTCTTTTTTCCCTATATCTTCCTTCTCTCAATCCCAAATTTTCTCTTCCTTTTTTTTATGTCAATCCCAATGAACAACAAATGCTCATCTTATTGATCTACTTTTGTAGCTTTTTTTTGCAAAGTGTAGGCGAATAGTGGGGTCATGGGTAATGTTCCTCTCACTCGCTTCCACAATGTATGATCATTCCTTTGAATTAGAATAGTGGGGTCATGGTAATGTACCTCTTCCTATGCCTCTAGGGAAATCATCTCAATCTTTTATTTTATTTTTATTGGATGCCAAAGGAAGGAGAGAAGGAAACCAAAATCACCAAGACTTTTACCTTTCAGATCTGAAGGAGGAATCCGATCCAGTGTATACCAAGCCCCAAAACAAGCAACATATGTCAGGTTAGGGTTGAAATCGGCTTTGGTTCTTCCAAACATTTTCAACAAGTGTTGTTATAGCTGACAGGTGATTCGCTTTAGTATCTCTAGTACCCTCTGTAACTGACAAATCTAAGAGTGGTGCTAAGAAGTGGTTAGGTAACAAGTTTGAATTAATATAATCATTGTTCCATTCTTAGAAAAACACACATATATATATATATATATTTTTTTTTTTTATATGACAGAGAAATGAAAATGAAATGAAAATGTTAGTAAATACCCCCCCCCAGACTTAAACAACATTGTCCCTAGTGTTATTTTGTCTAAGAGGAATACAAAATTATGATGTAGCAAATAATATTCATGTTAGTAGGAAAAGTTAGCATTATCGATCGATATGTCAAGTAAGACATCGAGCGATGTAAAGTTAGCTCTATTGATCGACATAAAACGGTGTACGTCGATCGATATAGAGTGCCTTCACCTATTGTGCTGTCAAACCATCGAACTCAACTTCTATGAGTTATGTATCACTATGTCAGCTCTGTTAGACATTCTCAACACACACGAATAGTTAGATAATAAAAGTAAGAGGCATAGTTATTAAAGAGTACGAATAGAAATCCTACAAGTCTGAAAATAAAAGTAAAAACGTAATAGTAGGAGATAAATGATAGAAATAGGCAAGTGAATCAGTCCTCACTGCTCTCATCATCATCTCCATCGTCCTGACGGTATTAGTGAGATGGACCTGGTGCCGATGGGTCAAAGGCTGAAGTACTCGCTCTGCTCGAGCAACGGCATCTCGAGACACGGGACATGATGGCCCTAGAGCATCCAACACTCCTCTCGTGAAAACCCTCTCATCTCCTGTCTCTATCCCTGAGAGATCTGGAAACTGGATCAGGGGTGCTGCTGGTGAAGCCCGAGAGGTACCGGCGCTGCGGACTCCTGTATCTCGGCGTGATGCAGATGGGTTGCGGACTAGGTGTGCGTCTGGCTGGAACCTAAGCCTGTCGATATCCATCGGAAAGTCGGTCGTCTCCCGGTGCGGCAGAAGGAACCTGCGTGTACCAGCTGCAGTCCTGAAAGTCCAGGACAACTGCCTGTTCATCCAACGGCTGTTACGCAGATGAGCTGCGTCCAAGTAAGCACGAGAAGTGTCTGTGCTGTCCTCGTCAAAGCGGATCCCAAGGTACTGGAAGATCGGTGTCAGAAGACTCCCTACGCTCTCCCTCTTCGCGGATGTACCGGAGAAAGGCTTCGTCTTCAAGCTGACGAGATGCTTTCAGTTTAATTTTCTTTGTTCTTCATCTGCGGTCCATGAATCTCGCCGGAGGAGAAGATGTGGAGGATCTCGATCTCTCCTATCGTTTCTGATTTGTCCAGGTCGTGGTGGTGACTCTAGAGCTCGTGCATGTTCGGTTCTGTTGAGGACAGGTACCGGTGTGCTTCCTCAAGAGTCGTGGTTGCTTCTTCTCATTTGTGAACACCGGTGGTGTTTAGATCGGTGTCTTGTCGATGTAGGGGGAGGCAGTGATCTGGTTGGTGGTCTGTGGCAGTGCGGTGAGGCGCAAGAGCTTGAACTGCTTGGATCCATGAGTAAGATCACCGTTTCGAGGATGACGGTGAGTGCATGAAAGGGATTCTAACAGCGGCTGACTACGGCATCGGTTTCCATACCGGCTTGAATCCGCTATCTTTCCTTCTCTTGGCGTGAAGCCCCTTCCAGTGAGATTCCCCATTCATGGTTCTTCACTGACTTTTGTCATTTTGAATCTACCGGTGGTGGTTTCATATGTGCGCTCGGGTGTCTTGCTCAGCCGAATCCTTGCTTCCTCATCCGTCTGCGGTGGCTCGGTGTTGGCGTTCATCTCGGTTCGTGTGTTCTGCGGCGGCGTTTTCTTTGAGCAGTCGGCTAGGATTTATGAGGCTCTTTAGTGTTTTGGCCTTTGTTTGTTG